TTGAACTGTGTTCTTACTTCTAAAGTAGTTTGTATGCAATTATGGATTCTTCATTTTAGTTTGCAACTGAATAATCCTCTTAGAAACAGGGGAAAGGGGAGGGTCCATTTTGAGTGTTGCTAAGGCACTTTGTGAGCTTCAGTTGGAATTGCACCAGCAGTCTTCAAGTTTTGAGGTTGTTGAAGTTGGAAGAAAAACACGATGCAGGACTAAAGTAGAAGCTAAGGGTGTGGATTTCTTAATTATTGAATCTTCCTTCCAATCCACGAGGTGAGGTTCATTTGGAATTGTACAAGTAGTCTTCATGTTTTGAGGTTTGTTGCGGAGAGGTGGTATCACTATTACCAATTCCTTAATGATTGAACTCTCCATCCAAGTCATGAAGGAGTCTTTTCTGCTCCATCCTCTTTGCATTAGTTTGATTGCATTGATTTAAGTTGGATTATCTTCTAACAGGGTTAAGTGAAAAGGATGCTGTGTTTGTCAGACAGTGAGGAGAAGAAGGTGAATGAGTTTCAAAAGATTGTTGAAGCAATTAAAGTAGAAGAAGTAGAATGCTTGAGGAGGTTCAGTGGGAAAGTGTTCAGATCCCCAACTTTGTTTGAGGATATGGTCAAATGCATTATCCTTTGTAACTACCAGTATGTCACACCTATACCTCTTTCTCTTATTACTGTACTGCATATTTCTTAATCAGTCATTGAATAATCATCCTTGGCATGGCTTCATTTTGCCACTAGAATCCATCTGGTGGCTTATGGCTTTCAAAATGGACAGCAGGGGAAACAGGATGAGTGAGCAAGGGAATCAATTGGGTTAGCTAGTGTTCATAATCAACGAGAAGGCAGAAAGGAGGAGACAATAGAGAGAGGAAATCCGGCAACTAAACTTGCTAGAACTTCAGTCAACTCTCACATGTGAGTTTTGCATTCTTCTTTTTAGGGTTTCTTCATTTTTCTTAATCCAATTGATTTCCTTTTTGATCTATTTAGAATTGGTGCAAAGGAGTGACAATGTTTTAGTAGCTTTTGTAATGTTAAAGTTCTTTTTTTTTTTCTTTTTTTGTTTTTGGCCTTCCATTAACTTCTTGAGATTGATGATTCCATTGAGTTTGGGGTGAAATATGTGGCATTGATGTTGTGGTGTTTTGATTTTTTTCATTTTTTCATTAGCTTTTCGTTGGTGTTTTCATACAAATTATATGACAAATTGACAATTCAATTTGATATACATTTATAAATTTGCAAGTCTAAATTGATCATTCATATAGATGTAGAATGCAGAGTTATGAGAACTTATTAGCTTGCCTTCATTTTGCTTTTGCTCACTGATCTATGTCAAGTGGATTTTTTGGTCAAAGTGGTTGTTACCAGCTAAATTTTTTTGCTTTTTTAAAGGAATTCTTTGATGTTTGATAATGATCCATGGTGTTGGAGAGGGGGAAAATGATGAGTTTAGAAGGTATTTTGAATGATATGCCTCTTGTCAATTATTTGGAATCTCACTTTGGCTTGCTCTACATTTTTCTTCTCTCATCTTGTTGCTTTGGTTGTATCTGTTGCTTTTAAGGTAGAAGAACTAGAAAAAGAAATTAAGGTGTTGGACTAAGGCTACTGAAGTAACAAGAGTTTAGCAGTGGGTTTATTGTCTTATCAAGCAAAGAGTGTGAGCTTCAGCTAAATAAGCCTATGTAACTATAATAGTATATCAACTAATCGATTCCGATATATCTGAGGCCTATTTTTTAATTAAATTGGATCTGCAGTTCATGTATGCATCTAGAGCTAAATGAGCTCCATTGTCACAAACCATGATAATTTAGAAAATTTCCTAGATTCTTTTTATTTATTTCTTGCATTTGTTTTTCCAATTAAGGTAGAAATATTTGCACTGCATAGATATAGTAATTATGATGATTGCTTGCGGTGATGCATATTTTTGGTTTGAGCTCTTTGTTTGTGGATCTTCATTACTTTTAACTTCTGACTAAAGGGACATTTATTCCTTTTTATTTTCCAAAAAACTTTGGTTGTTTTGGTTATTATAATTTTTATATATATTTTCTCAGGTGGTTACTTTATATTATTTTTCTTTCCATGAATTGTGTGTTTATCTTCTTCCATCAAACAATTGAGCAATATGTGAGAGTTCTTAGGCAATAACAAATCACTGTAACTAAATTTCATGACACTGAAACAATACCCCTTATCAGGAATCATGACAAATCTTCTCATAGTTAGAAACACACATCCAGTGGTATTTGCTAATCAATTGATTGGTTGTATGAATATTTAAATCCTTTCTTGCCTGCAGTCCTGTAATTGTCATGGATCATGAACTTCCAGAACTGTTTTTAATTCTTGGATTAGGGCAAATTCCACACAGCAACAAGGGAGTGGGGGAGGAGGGAAAGCTTGGAGGGAGATGCCATGCCAAGATTATGCTATGATAAATGGAAAAGAGGGGAAATTTTCGTTTTTTTACTACATCTGCAATTTCTTGAGAAATCATTTTTTTAATGGCGCTTAATTATGTCTTCAGATCAACTCAACTGATTATCAAACTTGCTCAGAATGTGTTAATGTGCATCTGCATGTTAAATTTCTCCTGTTAAAAAATGTTTCTTTTTCTTTTACTGAGTTTTTGCATATCAACCATTCATGCAATCAGCTGAACATATTTCTTTACTTAACGTAAATTTTACTAAGCTGCATGTCACTAAATGGTGGTGCATTTGTACCCTAATGCACATTCAGCAGCAGGCATGTGGATTTTTTATTTAAGATGGGGAAGTTTCTGTGTTATTGACTAGAATTCATTCTCTCATTTCTAA